TCTGTTTGTAACTTTGCATGTGGTCAGTTGAAATTTCATTAGTTTCTTATTGTATTGTATTTTCATGTAAGTCAGGACTCATATATTTATTCTTACATCTTAATATATTCTTATTTTTATTAAGCTATACTACATTAGCTCAATTTACAATGTTATAAGATAAGAAAATTAATATTTTATAGTTAAAGTTTTACAAAACTGCCATGGGTGTTATTTATACAGTTCCCCTTGTGGACTTATATCATAACATATCTTTTTAATTAGTTTAGATTCATATGAAAAAGAATTAATGTTTTTATGCTGCAAGTTAAGAAATAAAAGTTAGTGAAAATATTCATTTCACACTTCCAGGATGGAGTTCCATACATTGGCAGCAGTGCAGGTACAAATGTGTCAACAGTGAGCATCAACACTACAAACGACATGCCTATCGTCTTCCCACCAAGTTTTGATGCTCTTGCTCTGGTGCCCTTCAATATCAATCCTCATTATATAGATGCCAACCCTGGTAGTACTCATATGGGGGTAAGATATCAAAATTTATAAGGAAAGAAAGGTTTTTTTTTCTGTCATGAAAAAAATACAAAGTAGTAGTAATATTCATATAATAACCACAGAAAGTCTGAAGACCCTGTGGCCTTCCATTGGTAAAATTGGATAGCCAAGTTTTTACAATTTACTAGCTCTCCTAATGCTCAGATAGCCTTATGTTGGCACTAGTCAATTTTCCTTGATGATACACAATGAGAAACTGAAATGCAGTGATAATGCATGGAGCATAATATAAAGAGGATGTGCAGATGGTATTGTCAGGAAAAGGTGAGAAGTATATATATATAATGATATCTGAGCATCAGTAGGCAAATGTGGAAAGTTGGTATATGTGCAACTCCTGTGTTGAAGAGTAGAGATTCCTCAGACTTACTGTTATTACTCTAATAAATACCATTTGTGATAATTGCATTTGAAAATATTTTTTAAAAATAATAATCAAAGTTGTGAGTTTCAAAAGAGTATGAAGAAGAGTACTGTAAAGAAAATTATCGGGTGACTATGATATTAAACATCTTACAGGAGACACGAGAGGAAAGGATAAACCAGTACCACGAGATTCCTGGGACACCTGCCGTACTTGGACTTCGTGAAGGAGCTCTCCTGAAAGTGACAGGAGATTTGGCTCTTCTCATGGGTCTGCATCCAGCTCGACTCTTTAGGCCGTAAGTCTAGAGTGTCTCTCTATGATGTTGGTGTGAAAATGTGTAGCACCACAAGAGAAAAAAAAAGGGTTTGTTTTATAGATAGATATTTACATAGAGAAAAGATAGATAGATGTATGGTGTATGTATGTTTATGTATGTATTTTTATCTATAAATTAACTTTTGGATGCTAATATCTGCAAAGATATTACTTATTTATAAATATTTGTGGTGTCCCAAAAATCAATGGCAGTTGGAAATTGAAATGATGAAAAAAAGAGAGGCCCTCAACATAATGCACTTTTGACATTGTACGAACAATATTCAAGTGAACATTTCTTGACTTTTCAGGAGCAAGCAGCCAGAGGAATTCCCTGTTGGCACAGACTTCTCATTCCTACTGAAGTGAAGTTTGAGTTATTAATAAGTATATTTGAAGAAAATGCATGTGGTTTCTACAGTTAATGTCAGTCAGGGATCTGGTTGTCTCAAAACATGAAAATCAAGAACAGCTTTGTCTCCATGAATTTTAATATATGCAAGGTTTACAGGCAAATAGAATATGCATGTGTAATTCCAGTACTGCACAGGTAATTGGAAGTGAGTAAGTTAAGGGGTGCTACAATACCATAGGTTTGTGGTCTACACAAAAGACACTACTTATTTGTTGATATTTTTAACATTAACTCCATGTGTTTGTTATCAGTTTGTAAGAAATTATATTTTATGCCTAATAAAGGAAAAAAGAACATTGGTATATCACTTTTATTACTTTACATGAACTGTATCATTTTATTTCTATGATTTTTTTTATAATAATTTAGGTATTGGATAAAGATTATTTTTTTCAGAAACTCATTATTTGGTAATTTTCTTTGGTAAATGATTAATATTCACTAATTACAATTATTGTTCTTACTGAAAGAAAACAAAGGAAATGAAACTTATCGAGTCAAACCAAACCAAGTCTAGGAGTCACCTAACATGAAATACCCCCCAAGCCCTTGCTTCTTGTTGCCTTGGGGGTCTTGGGAGATGGCGACTAAGGCCTAATGTAGTGGATCACCCCTACCTTGGTCCTCAGCCCTTGCCTCAACTAATTTTCCATGGTCTTTTCTACTCCTCCTTTCCTTATTCCTTTTCTTCATCCGCTTGTTCTCCCCGCTTATCCTAATCGTTAAACTCATTTTTGCCGTTTTTGCCACAGTACTTTGTCATAATGCTTCCTACTCCCTTAATTCCTTCTCCTTCTAACAACCTTTACCTAATACTATACCCCATCAGCTCCCCCTCTCTGCCCTTT